GAAAATGCATATCAAAGTTCAGTGAATGGACTGGGTTGGGATCGCTCAACATGTGTTTCACTTTGATATTGAGCTTCTTCTCTCTGTGATTTCACCTCTCTTTAGACAATCTCGGTGTTTTTACAGGAAACTATTCGTTATTTGCCAATGTGAAACCTGTGAAATAGAATATCCGTGCAGAGACTGGAGACACCAAAGTGAAGAGACTAAAACAAATATTTTACCTCAGCTCTCAGGGTGTCATTTAATGTGAGTTTAAAGGGTTATAATATGGCTGAAAATTTCTGGGTGGGTTTAAAGAGGGAACAATGCAGAAATTAAATTTTATAATAGTTGAATTATTAAAATTGTAATTTAATTCTTTGTACTGCTCCCAAATTTACTCTCTTCTAGTTTAAAGCACATAATGTATAATATCTACACATCATCACGCAACTTTCTTATTGAAATTGCAGTTTTCTTAATTTGATGCTCAGTATAATTTTCAATGTTTCCACCGCCATCAGCAAACTATCAGACAAATTGCAATAGAGATTAAATTATGGTAAACTCCTTGATGAAGTATACTGAGGATGTGGTAGGAAACTTCCGAATTGATGAGGCACATAAGTTATGCAGAGAATCATTGAAGCAGAAATGTCTTATTTCTTTCCAAAATGTGACTTCAAACCATTGATATCCCGTTTCCGGGGATGCAAAATTCAAATTGTGCTGAAAGTTTCCACAATGGAAACTTTTCGCCATTTCCACCTTGCCGAGAAAAGCTTCGACATCGACCAATTTGCGGGCCCAACATTGACTTTGGTAGCAATTAGAGCATAATTCAACCATGGGTGAGCAAATGAAGATGATTGAAGGAAATTTCTTCATTTTCCCGAACCGCAAACTCTCTCATGTTCTTCGAGCTGATGGTGCAGAATTTGCAGAGAAATTTCTGCTCTCTCATGGCCATTTATTGCAATTATATTGGCAAATTCTCTCCGCCTGAAGGTTGGAAAATATCTGCGACATCATCATTTGCATTCTCGCATGGCATATCAATAAATTCTCATTGAAACCGACCAGAGAGACGGAAAATTGCTGGGAAAAATGGGTAAAAGGCAAGGGATTCCTCCTTGAGATATTCTTCAGCATCAGGGAACACCGGATGCAAAAGTATGCAATTACTGCTCACTATAGGGAATGCAGAAAGGAAAGTGGGTGGAGTTTTTAGTCATAATCAACCGTCAGGACCTTAAGCAATTTATGTGGAAAGCTAGGATTTTTTTTTCTCTCTCTCAGTCCCATTGTTGGGGATTCTCAGTGTCCATTCGTCACAAGATTGATCCACTGTTGGACAAAGTTTTTGCCCACCTTGTCGATGGGTGATTGTGTGGCATTCGCTGATGGAAGCAATTCCAGAAAGTGGGCGGAGGCGACAAGACATTCTCACCTTGTTGGCACTTCTTGGCTTCTGAATCAGCAACAGACACAAAAGACTCGTCACCTTGAGTTCCATGCCAAATTGAAGCTTCTTCACACTGTGTGGGAAAAGTTGTGTTTGTGTGGAAAGAGAATCTCATTTTGTGCTTCTTTCTCGACCTGCTTTTCACATCCTTTCCGATGGTGTATATCTTGACAGGAAAATGGTGATCAAACGGATGGAGTTTTTCATTCTCTTCTGTCTTTAGCATCATGAACATCATCATTACGACGCTGTCCCGCTGAGCCATGAGAAACACTCCAAGCATTGCATCCATATTCATCAGGAATTTCCCACTTGAGCCATCAAAATCCCAAGGCATTCATGCATAGGATTTCCTGTGCAGACCGAGAATGGACCGTTTGGAAATATTCATGAGCGTCACATGAAAACATCCTAACGATTTTCATATCACGGTTTAGAAATACAACAAATCAATTGAATTCATTAAGTGATAACAATTCAAATGGTCTTTGCCTTCATCAAAATGAAAAGTGGGTGATTTGTCTCATTAAGAATGCCTCGTGGAGGCTTTCATTACGCTAAAGCGGATTTGTGGGTGGGCCTGAAGAGAGCCATGAGAATAGGGAGAAAGTGGAAGGCAAAGGGAAAAATTCAATGTATTGATTTCTCATTTCCAATCTCCCATTCTGCCAGAAGAAGCTCCCAGCGAATTTCCCTACATAATGTATTTCAGTAAAGAAATAAATATCTGGCATGGAGCGTTGATAGAGCACACACACAAACACACACGAATTTCTGGTCCAGTAGGTAATTTCCAAAGGACCATCGCCTTAAGACGTTGCAAATATCCAATTGATTGCCTCCCATGTTGAGATAACTTTACAGAAAAGCAATCATGACCCTCTTTATTGCTTCAGGAGAGAAAACTCGCGAAAGACGAGACTTATTGGACTTTCCTCCAGCACTGTAAAATATATTGTATTTGGGAAAAGTCATAGAATTACCATTTAAAATTAAATACCTGTGCGCAATATGAAGCTCATCATTTACCATACATTTTTCATTTCAAGTTAAAGAGCTTTTTTGCGTAATTCTCTGAAATAAATTGTACTTTTTTTGTCACTCGTTATTAATGAAAACAATTAGTATATTTAATTGAAAATTGAGACGTGTTTTTATGTTTCTTGTTTCCCTCATGTTAAATGCAATTATAAATTTTACATGTGATAAATATCAATGATGAAATAAAATTTTTTACATATGTGAAGAGTTTTTGCAAGCATTTTCAATCTACATTATTCAATTCAAGACTTACAAAGTTTAATCACGCCCAGGAAAATCCTTTCAAAATCTAACTAACTAGTTCAGCAAGTGATGTGAATAGCCACAAAAGTTCTGTACAATGTGAAGATACATAAATATGTCTACTTGAACTTTCAATAATGCTTGCACTCTCTCTCTCTCTCTCACTGTGCAACTATTTCGAATAAGAAACTATACAAGTTGAGGCATTGAAAACTCCTAAATACTGCAGAAGCTCGACAAGCTTCATAAAACTTTTCCCTAGTCGCTCCATCAGGACTCATTCATGAAATTTGTACATCCTTCTGAGCACACTTCCTTGCCGGAGTGGAAACTGTGCGGCCGGGGGTGAAGAGTTCGCGTGGCCCCTCGGTCCTGCGGGAGCGCCCCATATCCCTCCGCCTTGTCATGGTGTCTCCCCGACACGGCGGAGAGAGCATTTATCATTTTCACATCCGTTTGCGTTTGATACAAAACATCCTCCGCTATTTGTGGCTCGTGAGAGACGTCTGGTGAGGCCCAATTCGGGCCAATGAATCACAATGATTTATGAGTTTGCAGGCGGATGAAAGTGAATTTTTTCCACCCCCCAGACTGACACTTTCTCACGCGAAGCAAATTTAATTGTTAATTATGCACAGTATACAGACGAGCTTTCGATAATGAAACGACTGTAGGGTATGGGCGCGTGAAAAAGCCCGTGCGACGAAGATTTATCGATGTTGGAGAGATTAAGCGCGGATGGATTTATGTGTTGTGGCACATTTACGATGAGCACAAGTAAAGTAATTTGGAGTCAATTTCCCTGTGTAAATTATTATTCGACTATAAAGGAGGTCCTGGTGAATTTAAAGCTGTCTCTGAATGGGAATTTCAACCCCTACGTTGTCTGGCCATCTGGTGTAGCCGTATTGTGATGGTCAGCAAAGCTTGAGTGTGTATGTTGAAGTACAGTGTAAATTTCCAATTAAATTGCAAAACACTTTGTGGGCTTTTCCATCAAACTTGAGCTTTTGAGGACTTTTAGAAGGGCAACGGCGCGCATAGAGAGTTTATCTGTTGTTTTAGGAAATCCACACCACTTCTAGCCCACCCACGAAGAGGAGTGTTGAAAAGTTTGCTAGCAAGTGGCGTGTTTGTCTCTCAATGGCGACCAGTGGACGAGAGGGGAAAAAGTCCACTCAAGAGATTACTGTGAGCAAATCCTATTTGAGTTACGATTTCGGGATATAAGCGGCTTACACCTGTATGCAATATTTAGTGGCATATGCTGAAGCATGTGACGAGATTAGTGGGAGAAACGTGTGGATTTGGCACATCTTTCGCCCGCGCCAGAAGATTCGTGACGGCGAATCCGTGCATGTTAATCATCTGACGGCGGAGTTCGTCGCCCTAATCGTGGCGAGAGGTCATTGGTATCCGCCACGTTTGTGAACTCCTGGCAGTTACACGGAGTATTACGAGTAATTTAGATTGTAATCCACGTCACAGGGACTCCTGGGAAATTCATGGACTCCAGGCATTTGAGGGTGGGGAAGATAAATCCAGGAACTCCGGAGCAGAACATATTGTCACGATGGATGGCAAACAGCGCGTGTGTGAGGTTGTGTAATGAGGACAAATCTGCCATTGCACAATCATTGCCTCATCATTTGCTATTTAGTGCAATATTATAGCAAAAGGAGATTAAATTCAATCATAACATAATCTAAATTCTACCCATGATTTTCCATCGTTATCAATATAATTTGTGCGCTGTGTATTTTCAGACCATTTCACCACAATTGAGAGTCGACCAAGGCGTACGCGCGCGTTTTGTGAAACTGTGTTCCAATTGCGCGACTGTGGCGATCGTGCATAAATCAATTAGACCACACCCGCAGCCAAGTCATGGCACGCACAAACAGTGATTGATGGAATTATCAGCGGTCAGCAGCAATACCGCTCCGCCCCCGCAAATGCATCGCAATTTTGCGCGATGGGTCACGACTGAACATCCACCGCGCCACAATAAATACGGCAATTGGCGCTGGCAAATTAGAGCATAAATTTCAAACAACGCCACGAACTTTTTTCGCCCTGAACTTTGATGTTTTTCGGTGCTGATTTGCATTTATGTGAGATTCATTTGTGTTCTGACCACACGAACGTGACCCAACTGTCACCCACAAAGCAATTTCGATGAAACCCCGCAGGATGTGATGATAAGGAGAAATTGTCCTGATTATATTGATAGGTTGGATTCATAAAAAAATTCAACTTTTCTCCCAGTGCAATTTTATTTTCCTTTTTTTACACATTTTCTTCACAATTTTCTTAAATACTGTTTTTTGGCATTTTCTGTAAAGTCTTTATCTGACTTTTGCTGGGATTTTAGGGCTTCAATTGAATTCCTCAATTTTGCATTTCATTGCAATCGGAAATGCTCAAGGTTTTCATCTTCCACACTTTATCGTTGAGCTTCAGGCTCGCTCCTTCAGCACCCATTACGATCGTTGCTGAAGGACATTCTTCAGCTTCCTGTTGAACTTCCTCCTTAGCTTTCTCATCCTTCCCGCCCAGATCATCTGGAGAATCCGCCTCAGCTTGTTCAGCGTCTTCGAAGAGATTCTCGTCGCAAAGTTCCGCAGTGTAGCAAAATTGAACTGAAAGTGTTTGCAAATGAAGTTAATTGAATTTATCTTGGATTAACACGAAACTCACCAGGACGGAAAATTCTCGAATATTTCCATGGCTTGACATTGAAGAACGCTTTGGGCTCTCCAAGAATCTCCAGAGCAGAAATCGCCACGATCACGACAAGAGTGATAAAGTGCTTCATTTTCCTGTGTTTCTCACAAACTGATGCTTTGCCTGAGACTTTCGTCGCCTTTTATACGCTCTAATGATTCACCGAAAAGCCTTTATTCATCATGGTTTATTGACAAAGTGTCTCACTTCTATTTTTCTCAATTAAACAAACACGCGTTGTGTTTTTCAGGTGAAAAGGTGCGATGAAACTTAGAGACGCGACGATCGTTTTATTTGCCGAATCGCTCACCTTAAAACTCCCCTAAACTGCGTGCTTCCCCTTTTTCGCCATGGGAAATTTCCACTTGAGTTCAAGTGCAGATAATTCACTATACTTAATTGGAGGAAAGTTGCATCTGTGAAAGACGAGACGCGATAAAGGAGTGAAAATGTCATTAGGTGCCTAATGAAATTTGTCTTCTTTGATAAATTCATCTTCAATTTTGAAAGGGTGAAAAGGGAAAAAGTTCAGGTGAAGTGACATCAAAAGCATGTGCCTTGGAGTGGGGAAGATTTGACGGGAATCTCAATTAAATTAATAACTCCCATCCTCCAATAGGGTGCCTAATTAAAAGGGTTTCGCGACGACAGGCGAGTTTTGGAAACTTCAAGTGTTAAAGGACACTTTGAGTGACTGTCAGTCAAGGAAGATCTGTGGCTTTCTATTTTATTCACCTGACACTCAATATTCTATTCATTCTCATCTCCATAGATTGGAATTTGAATTTCCTCTTTCCTGCACTTGCACAATCAACAATTTGCAATGGTGATGAATTCAATAAATCTCAATTTTCTGTCCCACCCGGAGAGCCTTTTCTAACATGCAAATCGTGATTTTCCTCATCGCCACAGCGTCGAATGGGGGAAAATCTTCATTCATTGCATGGTTCAATACAGAGGCGTTTGCTTATAAATTTTCCTTTGCATTTTATCGCTCGAATGTGCTGGCAATTGGAATGCGTGATGTGAATGCAAATTTCTCGCGACGATGGGACTTTTTATGTCGCATCTGAATTCAGAGAGTCCTTATAATTTGTTGTCGAAGGGTTTGTCCACATTCTGTCACAAAGAGTGAGCTTTTACGAGAATCAACAAAAGCTACGAGTTTGTCTGCACGAAGACACTGTTGAAATTATTCTGCCTCCTCCTCGGTGAAATGAGCATCAAATATGTAATCTATTGTCTCTGGACAGTTTCAGTGATGTGTAAATTGCAAATGATTACACATGAATTACAATATCGCCAAATTATTCACATATCGTATCAATTAGCTTATCGAGTTGTGCGCAGCCAAAAGTGTTGTTTGAATAATAAATTTCCACAGTTGTTTGCCATTATAATTATATTGGGATGATTTATACGACAGAACTCGAAGTATTTTTGTCTGTTTTTGCCGGTTTATTGACTTTTCCGTTGGGAAAGTTTTTTACACGCTCCAAAAAACATATGCAAATATTCTCCCACCAAATAATCGTGATGGAAATGCACCTGATTTTTTTTTCATAGTAAAAACTTCCATGAAACAGCATTTGCATGATAATTTTTTAAAAGAGAGAGAGAGAGAGAGTGAGTGAGTGAGTGAAATCACGTTTTTCTTCCGCACTTTTTCGCGTCTTTTCACGGTGAATTGATGGATAAATTCTGGGGAAATGTCAAAACATTTCATCACTCTACTGGGGGAAAATATATTGGAAATTCCACGTGAGAAAGTGTCTATGAGAAAAATTGTAAATTTTTATCATTGAAGAGGATGAATCTACGACAGAGACGTGATTTTCCTTACAAGATATGAATTGATTTGAATGCAAATCGCATTTTAGGGAAAAGCTCCACACTGTCTGAAATCCGATAAGAAGTTACGAATTTGGAGCTCTTTCGGAAGCTCGAAGACGCACTGAGTGAAATATTTACTCAATTCTGCAATTTGAGGTTCATATTGTTGATTCATTTGTGAGACGCTTTCATTCTTAGCACGCGAGAGAAGAGCAAAAGCTCTAGTGGGTGAAAAAGGAGAAGAATAGAAGGCAAAAGAGCGACATCGGAAGATGGTATTGAATGAGGACTTAGCATTGATTTATTTGATTTCACGACACTCCGAGCATGGCTTTTCTGCACATTTCAATATTTCTGAATTGTCATGATTTTACAAGACTTTATAGGAATGATGAGAACAGCAATTTTCCTGAGTATATATGAAAGTTTCTCAATCAATGCAAATTGCACGTGAAGGAGGAAAATGGGAATTCAGATTTCAACTGAAAACATGTTCAGTGGAGCAGCAATAAAAAGCATGGATTCTCTACATAATTATATAGTGAAGTTAATTTTCTCTGGGCAAATATCCATTTTCCCTGGGATTTTCCACTCGCAGCTGCACATTTGGAAAGCGCACGATGTGGTAAGGATTCACCCTGAGGTCTTCTAGTTCCGGTCATTCACGATGAAATGCACTCAAACTCAATTCCAATGTTATTCTCCACGTCAGGTGGGAGCCACCCGGCGCCTCCACCGCATCGAATTTCGCTCAATCGCTGATGAGATCATTACGGTTGACTGCAGGAAGATGAATTCCTGGAGGAGATGAGAGTGTGCGCAAGTGAGACGTGAAACGATAGTCCTCTCGCCCTCGTATTGCTAGGGTGACTTCACGTGGAAAGGCGCTTATCTCTGGCCCCGTTGATACATGCAATTTCCTGGGCTTGATTCCCACCCTCTGGGTGGGCTTTTATCACTTCCCGGGTTTGAGGATGATTGAAATCAAGAGGAAATATCAACCACAATCGACTGCCGAGCTACAATTTCCGTTCATTTTTAATTTCAGTTGCCCGGACAATTTTTCCATTAATAAAATGTCAAAAAATATCTGACGATGCGACCTTTACACATTGCATGGGGAAGTGTGGTTATAATGGTGAAAAATATGGAAACGCCATCCAGAGGGGATGAAATACGAGTATTCTTGACACGGGATTTTATCCACAAAAGGATCAACCGGCAAACAGCCAGAGGCCAGAAGGGAGATTTTTCATCTGCCGAAGCGAGACACATTTCAACCCTGTGTTTATGGCTTTTCCATCGAGACCCTCTTTCTCTCTCTGTTTGCCATCTTGCCAAACCCACCCAAAAGTGCACCCACTTTGCAGACGTAATATTCATCGGGAATTTACATGAAGCAGTCCCGAGTGGATGTGAAATTTTATCGACAAAGTCTCTCTGGTGTGGTTTAAAAGCTCACCTCTCACAGCTTCTTCTCCTTTGATATGCTCTGGTGTTTTGCGCAAACATCCACCGAGGAATCAATGAGCACTCATCCTCTATTCGAATATCCCAGCATTCACCTTTTGTTATGCTCTTCTTCGACATGACAAAAAGCCCTATGAATAGATTATTTGGTTCCAATATTGACGCGATGTTTCAAATGAAACGTTATGAGCACTTGTAAGTAAACATGCAATAGAATTTTGCTCGGATGCACATAGCACAATTTATTTGGGGGAATTTCTCAATAGCACGTAAGAGGCATGCAAAAGGGCGGCGAATTTCTGTGGGCAGAATGTGTTTGACTAAATAAAGAGCACGGTAATTTAGCGCACATACGAGCAGAGAAATATTGGAAAAATTACGCTCAAGTACCATGTTTTAACGGGGAGCTTTTTGAAGTGATCCAAGTTAACTGGAGTACACTTGACAGCCAGTCCATGAAGAGTTGGAAATCAAAGCGATTTGCACTAACGAGAAATTAATTGAACGAAAAATACACGGAATCGTTTTTCTGCTTTTGAAATAAATTCCGTTCACTCCAGAATTGTACCTCAGTAAGAAAGTTTTGCTGGGTGAATTGCACGTGAAACTATTCACTGATAGTGGTTTCAGGTGTTGAAATGGTTGGAATTTCGGTGATATGAATTCATATTCAACTCTTACATTCAAAGCTATTGAAAAAATATTTTCCACCTTCGCACGAACCATCAAATAATTTTCAGTCCCTTTTTCCCAACACACACGGAAAATTCCAGGAACAAGAGAAAACAAATCAGAGTCCACATTCTAATGTATGGCATGGCATTTTGCAAAATGCGAAAAAATATTTTGATACAACTTCACCCCGGAAATACGCAAGCTTTCTCGTGCCACGTGGAAACTTTATGCTGAATCAGTGTTGAGTTATTTAAAAAAGAGTGATGCCCAACCATCAATTTGCAGTATCATCAATTTTTCCGCCTCCTTCCATGTGTGCCGCATAGAAAGCTTTCTCGTATCAGAGAATGTTGAGATATCTCGTGCCAAAATACCGCATCAGATTTCGGAAACTCTCGCCCAACCCTATACATATAAAAAGTGAGCACAACTCCTTTTTGCCTTTTTCCGCTTGCACCCTCACATAAAATATCGAAATTCATCGTTTGGAATATTGGCACTAATAATTCTCTGTCTTCCCCATTGGCAAAGTTCAGTGCCAAGGTTTTGTGACTGTCAAAGATGATTGTATTCGGTGTTGGAGAAAAGCTTAAGATTGGTGAATAAAATTGAAACGTTCTGATTGATTTCAAAATCACAGATATTGACTAGTCTATGAAATACTTCCTTTTCCCACTTAACTTTCCATCATGTACAAGCAACTCTTAAGTGATCCCCCTCTGTTCTTGGAAACATTTCTGTGAATATCTCACTCTAGGCCTCCGTTTTCACCCCGAAAGCCACACATTTGGAGATAAATAGAGCAGATGTTGTGCTCCATCCCTCGCTTCAGCGTAAAACTAATGACTTTCCCATGTTACTCACCTCAAATCCCGCCGCGGGAGGCGCACAAGATGCTGAGGTCAAGGGCGAACGGGGGCGTCCTGAACCGTGTCGCCCGTGGCGACATCCTGAGAAATGTCTCTCGTGGAAGTTGGCAATATTAATCTTCCGCCGTGTCGCGTCAATTGAGAACGATTGGCGGCGACACGTAAAGAGAAAGTTTAGAATTCCGCATGAGATTTTGGTGGTAGAAACTTTCCGTTGGACTCTGTTTCGCTTTCCAATTAAAATAGCAGGAAAATTCATGCAAGGACATTTGGCTAATCCACTTGAAAATTTGCCTGAAAGTTGAGAGTGTC